ATGATTTTAATTTTTTATAATCATATAAAATGTAATAGTATCAATTTATTATTAACCACTACCGCATTAGGTAGTTAACCAGTCATAAGTATCATGTATACGCAACAATTTTTAACTGATGTACCAGTCATCCAAATCTCTTACTAACGCTTAAGACCGCATTCATTCGCATCCGTCCGCAACCGTAACCACTGCGTTTGAACCAATCAGGCCCTGAATATTGCCAATTTTTCTGTACCTAAATTATGTTCCCATTGGTTTTGATTGTAACAGTAAAATAATCAAGTATAGAAAAAAAATTTACACATTTTTATGCTATAACCATTTTTTTCTAGATAAAAAGATACAAGATTCAAAGACTTTTTGATAGATTTAGGTAAAATATATATATATATATATATAGAATAGTTTAGTTTTTTGGGTTTTTGATAAGATGTGATCTTTTTTTTTATAACACTAAGAGAGTACAAGATAAGATGTGATCTATGTACAGTTTTAAGAACTTATTATATACTGAGAAACATGATGTAGAAGTTCTTTACAAGCTGTAAAAATTGGGTTTTTGTTCTTTGGCTTGCGAGTTTTTTTTTTGTCATTTAAATGTGGATTGGAAATCATAACGGGCTGGAATGATGTTTGGGTCAAACATTTTAATGGATTGATGTGTTGTATTTTTATTCGCTATTTTCAGTCGAAAATTATTGGTTTTGCTATGTTTTTGGAATTTTTGATATTTCTGTTGTTTTTACTGACCACAGCTTTGGTTGTCAGGAAATAACGTGATAAGATGAGATTTGGAGGGTAAAAGAATTTTGGAATCGAATTGAAGAAGAAATCAATTGATCCCACACGAAGAAGTAAAACCTTCGAAGGCTTTGGATCAGTCGATTAAGGATATCATCAGATCGATCGATCTATATTTTGTGGATTGCTTGATCCCGTTCGTCGTGAAGCCACTTAACATGAACCGAACCTGAATAAAAAAGACATGTTTCGATGCAAATTCATATTAAACCAATCCGACTAGTGTTTATAGCTTTTACATTTACTTTTCTCTTGCTTTCAGAGCATCCCCATTAGGGGTTCTAAGGGAGGGTTCACACGTTTTTCGAGAGGAACAGTGATGAACCCGGCGCGTGTGGATTCGTCGTGGTGAACCCGGTTTGTCACGGATTCGCCACGTGGCGAGCTGTGATTCGCCAAAAAAAATTTTTTTCCACAAAAAAAAAAAAAAAATTATTTTTTATTCCTATGAACCTCTCCCCATCAGGTTCACTGATGGGGATGCTGTTCTTGAGCATCGACTTGAGTTTTTGTAACCATAGGGAGAAGATATCTTGTTGTACATGATTTGGAGAATATTTACGAACCATTTTTCTTATTCTATACAATCTCATCATGTTTTTTCTTTTGATTCATCTTGCACTTGCTCTTTAAATATGCAAGATAAATCAAAAGAAAACATATTTGCTCTTTAAATATGCATGACAAAAAAAATATATATATGCGTGAGTAGTTCACTAATTGGGTTTTAGGGTTTCACACAAGAGAAAATTACTTGCATTTTTTGTTTGTCTTGCCTTCTTGGAGAAATTCGCATATGATTAACGTATGATTTGGTCTAAGTCTCTTTTTTTTGTCGTCCACGTTACTATGTCAGCACCATAAATTTTTGAGTAGAATACAACCTTCGAACACTCTAATTAAAAGTAACACTAAGCACTTTATAGTTGATTCCTCCGATTTTTGGACTATTTTTTCCTTCTCGGTTTAAAGTGAAAATAAAAGTTTTCTAATATTTATTTTATCTTTTGGTATTCATGTATATATATATATATATATATATATATATATATACAGTTTAATTTACTTTTGTTAAAATTTTAAATTGTATTATTTTTGGTAGACACAACTGTATGGACGTAGCTGTGTGGATGCATGCGCATAGACACTTGTTCATTGACGCAGGTTGGCAGATGCATGGTTGTGATTTGTGAACAGAGATGTGTGAACGCAGGTCCGTGAATGTAGATGCATGGATGCATATATATTTTCGTGAATGCATTTATGCCGAAAGGTAGTCCACGACAAAAATTTGTATAGTAGCAGAATGTTGTTTTATTTGGGTGGATAGTGAATATTTAAGGGATTTGTAGTTTAGACAATGGCAAGGGAGGAAGAAACAGTAGAAAAAAACTAATAGTCATAGAAATAGGGGAAGCCATATAACTACAAAAAAAGCATAATTCACGTATTAGCTATTTGCCCTACCAGACATATACATGCTGTTATATATATATATATATATATATATATATATATATATATATATATATATATATATATATATATATATATATATATATATATATATATTAATACTGTAATACCTCTTGCAGCAATCGGTTTAACCTGATAAAAGAATTAAAAAATAATTATTAATCTCAAAAATAAATTGTGGTTATCGTAGATCGATTTGCTCCATCTCTTTCAGCCCACCGTTTTGTTCCACATCGTCTCCGGCGTCGGGTCGTCCATCTTCTTTGAGTTTATTCCCTCTGAAATCCTCCACCGCCACCATCATCATCAATTCTGAAATCGATGGCGAAAAGACGTCGTTACAGATCCAAGTGGTGAGAGGAGTAACCCAAATCTCTTTCCCCTCACATCAGCGCTTCGTCTCACACTGCTACTTCGTCATTACATTACTTTTATTTTCTCTGTAAATTAGCTAAAGTTGATCAGAGAAGATGAATATTTTTTTTTGTTATTGTGTTCTATTCTATTCTATGCATATAGAATAGAATGTAAACCAATATGTATTTTATATTTTATTGTGTGATATATTCTGTTACTATACTATTTTAGCGAATTCCATTCTATTTGACAGTTACTAAAAAGATAAATATGTTGTTTAGAAATATAGTTTTAGAAATATAGTTTGTAATTTTCTTAAATTCTCACTATCATTACATATTTTTGAACTTGGAAAAATTATATTATGATCGTTGCATTATATTATGTATTTTTTAGATTACAACATTTGGGTTCAATTCTATTTGAATTTGTGATTATATTTGAAATTATGGTTTATATTTGGGTTTATGGTTTAGATTTGGGTTTAGGGTTTACTGATTAGAATTTAGGGTTTAGTATAGAGGGTGGGTGGGACGGGGATAAGGTTTAGTATCTAAAAATTGGGTTTGGATCTGTTTTATGTGGAATATCATTACTTTCAACTGCTTTGTAGGTAGACATAGTATGATATTACCAATCTCCTTTCGATTTGACATGAAATGGTAATTATTCAATTGTACTATTCCACTTCAGATAGTATCAATTGTTTGTCTGCTCCGCTTTGATCTGTTTCAATTGTACTATTCCGTTTAGTGCACAAGAATAGTTTCCATTTCATTTTAAATAATATAGAATAATAGTTCAAAATTTATATATTACTATTGTATTGTACTTTAAAAATATTATAACTGAGAATTAAATTTAATATTTTGGTTTGGGTTAATAAATTCAAGTTTAGGGTTTAGTATTAAGGATTTAGGTTTGGGTTTAGAATTAAACTTAATATTTTGGTTTAAATTTTATATAAAGGTGTTATATTTGTTTTTATCAAACATAGTACTTTTATAAATGAAATAGAACATTTATATAGGATAGTTAACATATATGTGATAAGAAAACATGACGTGGATGTATTTGCTTGATTCATTAGTTAAGTCGATGACTTCATCTTTCTTTTTGTTTTGACCGGAAACTTATTTTTCATGAGGGTATAACCGGCTTAAAAGAAAGCTAAATGTTATTCACTTATTAACGTCAAAATCATAGTCATCCACTTAATTATACTCTCAAATTTTGCTATCTCACAAATTCACCCTAGAAATAGTATGAACAAATTGGGGCTAGATGTTTAGCCACTGTTATTTTGTGGCCAGGTCGTGGTTGTTTTAGCAACGTTTTAGTCATGTTTTTAATGTTTTCGTGGCTATTTTACTGTAGCCAGGGAAGTAAATGTGGCAAAGTCATGATTAGGTGTTTAGTCACTGTTATTTTGTGGCTAACTGTAGCAAATATATCTACATTATATTCCGTGGCCAATAGTGGTTATTTTACCCATGTTTTAGCCACAAATTTATTATTATCGTGTTTATTTTTAAAGCATAGATTTTTTTATTTAGCCACGATTTTGTCTTGACAACATTATGGCTATGTTGAATTTTTTTATGCAAGGCGAATAAAAACAAATATTAACCAAAATCTAAACAGAAATTTAAAAGAAACATTCTTTATTAAAAAGTTTACAATGGACAACACACATCCTTATTTATAATACAACACAACATACACATACATGGTAAAACCAGACTTCGGGTGACCTTATTTATTGAATTAACGAGAGAATGATTCTAAAGAGTAACTCTGGAATTGGCGAATGGACTCTGATCAGATGAAACCGCCTTAAGCTCTTCCATTACCACTTCCATCACCGGAATCAGTCTAGAAGTAAGCTCCAATGGCATCAATAGCAATACCATCACGTCCATAAATTCCGAGAAGCTTTTCTCCATTTTCACCTTTGAGTTCAAAGTCTGCTCCCTTCGCCTTACCGAATAAGGGAGAGGTATATCCTTTGGAAGTTGTGAAGTACAGTGATGTGATAAGCGTTGTATCATAGTTGAAAATATGATTGTAGCTTCCACCAATGGACGTGATATTATCTTTCGGATAATCCACGGCAAACTGTATTTCATTTTTCATTAGAAACAAAGAATTTAATAGTGAACTAAAAGAATATTAGCAATTAAAAAAATATATTTTTACCTTTCCTAGTTCCCCGCGGTTTGTACCATGTTCACGGATTTCAACTTTTCCGTTCTTTTCGTATTCGATCTTGATATAAGTTATACTGAACTCATCAGCTCCAACGGTTATATTCTTCACACCATCGAAAACACCATCGTCGAATGGTGTTCCCTTGATGCCACCAAGCGGTCCGAAGTAAGCTCCAATGGCATCAAGAGCTTGACCAGAGCGTCCAAAGAACCCAAGAAGCTTTTCTCCACGTTTACCCTTTAGCAAAAACTCTCTCCCAGCTGGTTTTCCAGAAGCTGTTACCCCACCAAGTACCGTAGATGTTCTTCCAGTGTTGGTTTTAAAGATTAGCGATTTGATCAGTACTGTTCCATAGTATTGAGCAACATGATCATAGCTCCCACCAACGGATGTGATATATTCATTTGGATAATCAACCGAAAACTGTATTGCCAATAGAAACAAAAAAAACATTTAAGGGTTCACTTTTAACAATAGAAAAAAACATTCCAGGGTTCATTAACAAGAATATGTTGTTAAACAATAGCAACGAAGTCACAATCTTTTTATTACCTCTTTTAGTTCTCCGCGAATCGTCCCGTGTTCACGGGTCTCCACTTTCCTGTCTTTTTCGTATTCGACCTTTATATATGAAATACAATTATAAGGATTTCCCTCTATTCCGACAGTTATTTTCTTCACACCAATGAAAATGCCATCATCAAATGCTTCTCCATGTATACCACCGCGCAGTCCCACTCCTTCTGGTGGACCGAAATAAGCTCCGATAGCATCAAGAGCTTGGCCAGAGCGGCCAAAGAACCCAAGAAGCTTTCCTCCACGTTTATCCGCTAGCAAAAACTCTGTCCCAGCTGGTTTTCCAGAAGCTGTTGTCCCACCAAGTACCAGAGATGTTCTTCCAGTGTTGGTTTTAAAGATTAACGATTTGATCAGCACTGTTCCATAGTAGTGAGCAACATGATCATAGCTCCCACCAACGGATGTGATATATTCATTTGGATAATTCACCGAAAACTGTATTTCAGTTTCCCAGTACAAAAAAATAAAATCGTTAGTTTTAATAATAACAACACGAAGATACTTTTTTTAACAAGAAAAACCAAGTTACTTTTATGAGAAATAGGTAACATAGTATTCACACTTTCCGCCAAAACAAGAATCTAATTTTTTTTATCATCTGATTTTCTTTATAAAAAATTATGTTGATCTAATCATGTTAGCCTCTAATTTCATCCACAAAATGATCTTTTGTTTTTAAGTTTATAGGATTTTTAGATTACGATTATTAAAATAGTTATACAGTTAGGTTAAATTTGCAGTAAGAAAAACAATTGGGGATATGAAAAAGGGGAAAAATATATGAGTTAGTAATTATGTAAATAATACTATTGTTATAAATTTATATATTTAGCTTATAATATTTTAATATGTATCATTTAGCTACATAGAAAACTAGATATGTTGATTACATAAGTAAAACTATGTTATTATTTTAGGATGGATATTAACTTTGCATATATATATATATATATATAGCTGATATAAGAAAACATAATTAAATGAAATAAATAAATTAAATTACATAGTCAATATTGACTTTTTTTGCACAATTTGATTTTTTTGTTTCAGTCAAAAAGCATAATTTTAGTTCGCCAAATCATTTTGATCTTAATAGTAATCAACAATTATAGCAGATTATTAACGTTTAGACGAAAACGGTTCTGGTCAATAAAACTAGGGACTAAAGTAGTCTAGTTAACAAAATTTTCAAAAAGAAGAATTGAGTGACTGAACAAGTGAAGGTTTGGTACTTTGGTTAAGCGTACGTGTGTAATAGGTTTTTCGTCCTTTTGCATTTTTACCTCTTTTAGTGGCCCACGTATTGTCCCGTGTTCACGGCTTTCAAGTTTCCCTTCCTTCTCGTACTCGATCTTGATATATGATATACAGTTAAAAGGACTTCCCTCTATTGCGACAGTTACTTTCTTCACGCCGTCGAAAACACCATCGTCAAATGCGTTTCCATTTTTACCACCCATAACTCCCACCTTTTGCGACATTATTTCCTTCTCTTCTTTTCACAAAAACCTAAGACTGAATCAAGGAGCAACAAACTTAGTACTTATTTAGCAAAAAAACAAACAAACATTGTACTTTCTTATTTCAAATTCCACATAAATTCACATGCAAATGTAACGAAAAAAAACAGAGAGAAAGAGAGGGAGAGAGAGTACTTGAGTGTCAATATGAGGATGAGACTGAGTTGGGGGATGGGAAATGGTTTGATATATACAGCCATTTTGGCGATAATTAAGCTTTGTTAATGAAATTAGTTAAGGTTATCCATTTGTCACATGGGAAACTAAACATTTTTGCCATTCTTGAACAAAAGATGAGAAGAAAAATAATTTCCTTCTCAGTTTTCACACGCTAGAAATCAAATACGAACTAATGATGCCATTCTTGAAAAAAAGATGAAAATAAAAAGAATGTCCTCAGTTTTCACACGCTAGCTAGAAATCAAATACGAACTTACGAAGGGGGGTGTGATTGTGACAGTAGAATAATTGGTGTAGAAATAAGTTCACATTTTTATGCTATAGCTGTAATGCTTTTTTGTAGATTAAAAAGTACAAGATCCAAAGACTATTAAATTTCCTTAGGTTAAAAAACAATACATAGCATATGGTTAAAAGTGTATTGCGTTTTTGGTAAGACGTGATCTATTTACAGTTTTCAAAACCTGATTAATTAGTGATAAAATAATGTAGAAGTTCCTTAAAAAATTTTGGTTTGAATCTATAATTAAAATACATGTAAAATATATATAACTTTTTGGGTATACAGCGGGTTTGGATTTTTTAGGATATTTAAGACGTAAAGATTCAAATACCCAAACTCATCAAAATTTAACCAAAATCTGTTATATTTATTTAAATTTTTATAAAATAATCAAAAACACTATTAATAATTAAAAAGAAACATTTTCAAACTATATATTTGACATTTAAATTATATATTACTTAAAAATGCTACAAAAATAAGAATGAAGATTACAAATAAGCCATTACAACTAAATCATAATTTAAAATGTAAAAAAAAATTGAGTCATAATCTTGAATATTCATTTTTTAGGTTGGGTATGAATCAGTTCTTATCGAGCCGTAGGTATTCAAGTTGATTATCTTCGACGTTGGTTCTAATTCTTTTGGATATAAATTTTTTTGAATCCAGTTAGGTACTTGTAAATGTTTTGTTTGGTTTTGGTTTAGGTAATTTAGGGTCGGTGTAAAAAAACCAGACCTACTTTAAAAGCTGTAAAACTTTTGTAAAATCCTTACCACTCATATACGCGTTGTTACGAAAATTTGATATTTTGTATAATGATAATTGCTAAGTTTCAAAAAAAAAAACAGATTTGTTATTTTTTAGCCAAATTTGGATATAATGTAATGATAATGATTCTGCAATTTTTAAACTTTGGAAACTACTGAGAATCTCTTATATATAGTAAAGGAGAAACATCGTAATAAATGTATTCATACTATAATATACATGTGACAGTTTCACAATGATTTGAGAATGAGTACGCTAACGTGGCACGTGTAGAGAGTTTCTAAGCCAAACTTTACATAAATGTAATTACACTATGTACTTTACGTTTTTTCCATATAAAATTCACATGCAAGGTTCTATGGGTTATACAAAGGTTCCACATAGAAAGACAATTTACAAAAAAAAAGCTAATATATTTCAGTGTTTTTTTTATCAATACTAAAATCACATACAATTTTGCGAAGAAATGATCGAGTGAAGTAATATAGAGAAATATAAAAATCGTCGGTTGTTGGTGGTAGGTAAGTACATAACTATTTATTTTGTTACGAATGTGTGAACATATTTTAGAATCTCAAGTTTTTTTAATAGCTCAAATCTAAAATATTTGTTGCCATAATGATTGATGTTAAAAATTGATTAGACCAAGATACAACACAATACACAAAGAAAAGGTTTTTTCAAAAGTGACTCAAAACTCTAAGTCAAACACAAAACTAACATTCTTTTTTTTGGACATTTCATTTGCCCAGTCTACCTCAGAAGTTATGATTATTCACGGAAAATGCCATTTTTTTTTTCAAAAATGAATGTTTTACTCTCTCGTCTTCATCTTCATCAATTAATCACGAAAATACCGATGCCAAAAATTCATCCAACAACCATTAACAACCAAAATGAAGTTCTTAATGCATCTAAAAAATGAAATTAACTCATTCATTCATATATCTAAGATCCCAAAACTACATCTCTCACACTTTCTATCTATATTCATCCAAAAAAAATCCAAACTTTTTGATCCTAAAGTTTTTAAGGGTCATATAGCCATTCAAGCTCACAATTTTTGGTTATTAACGACTGAGTAGATGTTATGGTAAAGTTGTGTGTGCTTGGAGAACTAAGAAAGATCACTCAGTGGTGGTTGTTGAATGTATGAATTGGATTTTTATTCCCAGATTTGTTCGCTAGAAGACGTAAGTGTAAGTCTTCTCAGTCGAAAAACTTCCACGGAAGTCTTCTGTTCCAATAATATGTTAATTTTGTAATTGAATTTTTGTAGAAATCTTCTGGTCAAAGAATATCTTAGTTTTGCAATTGAATTTTTGTGTGTTTTTTAGAGAAGGTTGTCGTTGAAGTTTTCCAACTTTTCTTTGTTGACAAAAAAAAATCGAGAAGACTTACCTAGAAGTCTTTGGATAAACTGGTTAGTTTTGCAATTGACTAATTCGTGTCAGAAATTTGAGTTTATATGGAAGACTTTCAGGTAAGTCTTCCGCAAAACACTTACCTGGAAGTATTCTCAACCTTTACATTAAGTCTACTGAAATTTGCATAAGTTACTTTTGTGATTGAAAATTTAAACTTCAAACAATTAATTTAAATTGGGAAACTTTCAGATAAGTCTTCCGCCCGAAGACTTACCTGGAAGTCTTCCAAATTTTTATTCCGTGATTCTGGTCAAACCTAAGGTAATCAAAGAAGACTTATCTGTAAGTCTTCTGGTGGAAGACTTACCTAAAAGTCTTTTAAAAAAAAGTCAAATATAGTCAACTGTAAAGGTGAGAAGACTTTCAGGTAAGTCTTCCAAAGACTTACCTGGAAGTCTTCTGTAGAAAGTCAAATTTCTGACATAGATTGGTCAATTTCAAAATTAACATGTTTATCCGAGATGACTTCCAGGTAAGTCTTTTCAGGTGCTTTCGATAATTTTTGTATTACAAAAATAAGCCAATATTTACAAAGGAAGACTTCCAGAGAAGTCCCCTATAGAGGATTCTTCTCTGAAAGTCTTCCATTGCAAATTATCAATTACAAAAATAAGCTAAATAGAAGACTTACCTAGAAGTCTTCAGCCTGAAAGTCTTCTCCGGGAAGACTTCCAGGTAAGTCTTCTACGACAATGTATAATAAACTTTCGTTTTCTTCAAATTTAAAATGAATTCTTATGATTTTATTGTTAATTCATGTGTTTTAAACAATATTTGGGGTCCTGGATGAAATTCATAGCTTAATTGGTGATAATTATGAAATTATTAAGATTCATGTTTTTAATGTTTCTTGCTAATCTGAGAAGACTTATTAAGAATTCTTCTCGCAGAAGTCTTCCATGGAAGTCTTCCACGTTAGTTTTTGTGAATTTTTATTTTTAAGAACGTTAAGTAATTTAAGATAAATTTTAACTTTCAAAGATGTTAAATAATTTCAAGAAGATTATAATGTGTACATGAAAATGAAGTTGGAACAACTAACCTACTCATTATATTTTAGTTATTTA